GAATCCCCGGGTGGGCTTTGCTTTTCGTGACAGAGCAGAAGACAACAGCAGAGCAAGCGGGTGCACTGGTCGACTGCAGAAGCCTTCTGCAGGACGAATGGCTGCAGCGGTCCATACTTCCCTCTCAGACTCCTCCGGGTTTCAGATATTCCCCTACCCCTCTAATTCATCGCGACTCTTAAACCGAGAGCAAACTCTCTTCGTGCTTACAGATTCAGGTAGTTAAGCTTGCTCTCATAAAAACCCCAGAAATCGTGCTCCGGGATGCACACGTTATATCTCCCTCCCCCTCCCCGCAACAACCTGGCTGATCGCACCACCGGGCGAGCAGCTTCTTTCTGTCCTGGTCTGTGCGATGACCTTCCCAAACAGACAGAAGCGCAAAACCCGCTGAGCCCGACTAGACTCGGCAGCCGGAGAGTCGAAGGGACCAACAAACTGCTTTGCTCAATCCAGCAGCTGTTTTTCTCATTAGCTTCCATTGTTCTAGGGCCATCTCCAAGTCCTGGAGCAGATGCAATTAGCAGCAACTAATGACAGTTCTCAGTCAAGCAGATCCCGAAAGACTGAGCCTCCTTAATTTTATATAATGAGAAAAGCTGCGGCGGGAATAAGGATGCATCGGGAAGGGAAAAAAAAAATCCACAACACGTTTTGGAGGTCACTCTACTGGATTTCTAATCCACACTTTTCTAATCCACACCACAGTCGTTAGGCTACCTGGATGGGACAAAAGCGGGTGCGGTTAAAGGACAGGAGAGGTGGAGCAGGTAAACTAATTTGTCTCGGCTCCGATTTCAAAGGCTCTGGGTTGTGTTGTTGCTTTCTTTTTTTTGTTGTTGTTGTTTTCTCCCCGGCGATCGTGCCTCACCAGGTCTTGCAGGCAGCATACAGCACAGCACTCCCTTGCAGTGTCTGAGGTTACAAACCACGATTGCACATACCTTTAGCTGTCGAAATGCAACACTGATTTCTAGTAAGTCTTCAGGAAAAACGAAACAGAACTGAAATAGCCATGTGCTCTGAAACACTTTTCGTCAGTGCTAGGCTCCATGGTTGAGCAAGAGCGTTGGTTTGGTGGTTTGGTTTTTTTCCAGGGGTGGGAATGTCAAAAAGTGACAGCAATCTGATAGTCAAAGTCTGCTCTCACATGACTGCTTTAGCATAAAACTTAGGAAAAAAAAAAAAAAAAGGGGGGGGGGCGGTTAAAGCACTGAAATGAGTCCAAAGAGGTTAGACTTCAGCTCCCAACTCTGTCACAGACTTCCCGTGTGACCTTGGGCAACTCTCCATCCCTCTGTAGCTCAGCTCTTCATCTGCAAAAGGGAGACACTGCCCCTCTCCCCCTCTGTTTATTTCATTTAGTGTCTGTGAAGCATGGATGATTACAGTGCGTAGATCTAGCTCCTACCATAGATGGGCTTAGCTGTACCTCCCAGGGTAGGACATGCAGCAGTATGGAAGAAAACCATCTGTATGTGTTGGTATACATTTCAATGACTTTTTCTAAGCAGTTCTCTATATTTTAATCTCCTATAGCGGCTGAATCTTTTAACTACAAGAAGTTTTTCGAGATGGTAGGATTGAAAAACAAGAGCCCAGAAGATGTGAAGAAGGTTTTCCATATTCTTGATAAAGATAAAAGTGGCTTCATCGAAGAGGACGAATTGAAGTAAGATATGTCCTTTCCCAAATAACCTTGCATTAAGAGTCTAATTTCCTGTTTTCTTTTTTATAAGACTCTAGGTAATAGCATACAATCCAATCTCTTGACTAATATTTGTGTGCAATAATCAGATGTTTGCTGATTATATGATCTACAATGTGTTGGAGGTGGCTGGCTGTAGCTTTTATTGCAGGACACTGAAACACGTGAATGATCAACACCTTACAGATAGTTCTTCACTAAAATGCAGTTTCAGAGTAAAGTGATCCTCCTGAATGTTAAAGAAGGTCAATAACAGAAGATACAACCTTGGATTCCAACTCATATCAAAACAGTGGTGCAATTAAATACAAAGTGGAACTCTTCTGAAGAAAAAACTTTCCTTTTTTTTCCATGCCTCCTCCTTAGGTTTGTACTGAAAGGCTTTACCCCAGATGGAAGAGACCTATCAGACACAGAAACGAAGGCTCTTCTGGCTGCTGGAGATAAGGATGGTGATGGTAAAATTGGCGCTGATGGTATGTGATTAGAGGAGTAAACTTTGACAGTAACAATCGAATATTACTCTTACATATAAGAACTGAGGAAATCTAGCAATCACTGGGAGCTGTGACCTTCTGAAGGGCACAATTTGTATTTAATGAAATGCCAGGTCCTGCTACATTTGCCATACCTTGCTTGTAGGCTTTAGAGGAAACACGAACCGAGTTCCGACACTAGAGGGGGCAAGAGTTTACAGAGACCAAGATGCAGTTAAGGCACACTACAGCACAGGAGTTAAGTACCAATCCAACTTCTGCTTCAATTAGTTTATTTTTTTTCTGTTGAGTTTTCAGTATTTCCATGTTTTCAGTGGAGTAAGGATCAGGACACTGATAGTTCAACTACCCGGGCTTGACTATAAAACTTAAAAAAGAGAAAGAAAAAAAGCTGAGCACCAGCATTTCTGCCTGGTGATTAGTAAACAGGAAAGTAATACATGACTTAGCAAAGCAATGCTCTTAAAATTCTAAGTACAGTCGGTCTGCTATGGAATTTCTATACAATACCTGTCTATCCAGCTTTTGTTAGTGTTTATGTGGATCTTCACATCAAAGAAAGCTTGTAACTCACTTTTACTAAATATCAGAACTACAAGAAAGGAACAACTTTTCCTCTCACAGCATTGCTTAAAAATTTACTGCTGTTTTCTCTTGGGATGAATCAAATTAGCCCACATACAAAATTTCTCCTTTTTCCTCTTTTTTTCCTCTATCCCTGAGACACATTGGAACAGGCATGAAGAGACGCATTTCTGAATTAAATCTTTTCTCACTGGAGGAGATAGTAGCAGAGGTTTGTGGTCAGAATACTAGGTCACCTAGACATCAGACAATTGCTAAGTTTTCACCACATTAACAACCCACATGATAGGGTGAAATCTAAAAAATACCTAAAAAGCCTCACATCTCTGTGTTACCTGATCTCTGGGATTAGTAAAAACTGTTGTCTCCAACTAAAAAGTAATCTAAAAATGAATAAAAAACAAAATAAGGTTAACTATCATAGTTTCCCAGTGTAGAAGCTAAAAAAATGACATACAAAATCACCCCCTGGCTGTAGGTCCTCCTTATTCCCATTAAAATTAGTGGCAGTGTTACTAAAATCAGCGGACAAGATTTTCAGAAGACTTGATTCAGGTAAGTGGAGCTTACAGGTGACTTGCCAACCTCACATCAGATACATTCTCAGTTATTCCCAGAAGGCTGCAAAACAAAAACAGTATCATTTGGAATAAAAGAATGATATTGTAAAATTATTTTGGCTTATACAAGAGGATACAGCATTAACTTATTTAAGCTTGACCATAACTTTATTTTTTAAAGTTGAAACAATGTCTGAAAACCAGTACATTGTAATGAGGCAGTAAGAAACACCTCCTTATCTCTTTGAACCTTAACTTTGAATGGGAATTACTCTGAATTTATATGTAATAATGAGAAAAGAGCAAAGGGCTTTTTTATTTTGCTTCTTCTGGCCCTATCCCTACTATGCAACATTATCATTTTCTTTTCCATTTCTTAAATTTGACTCTGACAGCAAATTGTTACACCACAAAGGCTTGAAATACATGCAAAGTTATCAGCTGGGACTGTGACCAAATGATGAGGATGACAGATACTTTTCAGCTTTTCCTTTAGTTCACAAATCCAATTCCAGATTATAACTGCCTATGTAAATAAAATGTAAAGTCACGAATATCTATCACATTCATATTCAGTAATGCAATGCTGTATTTCTGTTGCAAACCATTTGTTTGTTTTCACATAACTTAATTGTCAAGCATCACATTTACCCCTTGTTTCAAACATCGGCTTCATATATCACTAAATGATCACAAACACGCAGCCTTTCACAGGGGTTAATGTTAGTTCACTGGACAGCCCTTGAACACTGTCCCTCAGGAGCCCATAGCAGCTGTAAGAACTGATGTTCTTCATGTATTTTTACCATGATTAACACCACAGAGCCATCTTTCTCAGACATATCCTCACAAACGGTAATTCCAACCTAATAAGCCTTCTTCCAGTTAGAGGTCTCACATTACAAATCTTCTCTTAGGTCTCCCGCTTTAAACCTTTTATCACTACTGCAAGACCGTTCAGCTCAGAAACAGTTTGACTAGCTTACCTCTTGTCCAATCAAGATTTGTAATTTGTGGCTGATCTGCCGGTTTAAAACTGTTGAAAACTTGCAGCCTGTTCATGCAAGACATGATCATCTTCTGTGTGATATCAATCCCCCTCCATCTTCCACTGAAGATGACAAATCTGAAAAAAATTTGCAGGCCAAGGCTAGGTTACCTAATAAAACTACAAACATTAGCTTTCAGATTGGATTGGGAAGTGATGCTGAAGCAGTTCATTCAGCTGCAGGAGAAACTTTATAAGAAACAGGAGAAAAGAATATGAAGATTTCTGCTCACAATGTTTTTTTTTAAATCTATTTTGTGTATTAACAATTGACATGCACATCATGCCTTTCAGTTCTGGATATTAATAGACTTGAGAAAGCACACAGAGAATTTTCAAAGATCATGCACTGTAGACAGAACAAATCCAAATTTTTATTCCAGTATGTCAAAATATTTTTCTTGATACAGCTCAACTTCTGCAAATCTTTAAAGGGTTTCAATTATTTTCTTTAAACATTGCAAAAATGAGACAGCAAACATTCAAAATTACAACTAAGTCATGACCTTGCCAGAGGTAAAAGTCCTGCAAAAAAAAATATTTTCAAGTCCTTCTTTTCTTATACCACTTTGTGTTCTTTGTATCTTCTACAATTAGTGTAAGACATTACTTCTGAAGTTTTGTAAACAAATTTGCTATTGTACAGATAATGTAAAAAACACAATCTGACGAGAGAAATCATTAGCCTACAACATGTTCTCTGTAATCATATCTGTCATTCCGGTAAAATACTACAGGGTATACATTAGGCTGCTATATACTACTGATCTATATACAGTTGAGTATATACAGTGAAACAGTCCTCTCCTTTGAAGTCAAAGCTTTGACACAAGACAGCTATTAAATTATGACATGACAAATCAGTCAAAATCCTTGTAATTTAAAGCTATTATTTGTGCAAAGAAATATATAACTTAATTTTGTTTGGAAGGAGAATTACAACTGGAAAAGAGGATGTAGTCAATTTCAAGGATTCTCTCACTGAGGCCAGTCAGAGGCAATAAACATTTACAAGAATGACCAACAGACAGAGGCTAATATACAGTGCCTTATCTCAGAAGTTTTGCATATGTGAACAGACTTTGTAGTAATGCCTCCACGAGCCACCTATAGTTGGGCTAACCTTCATACGAAAATAAACAGTGAACTAGTTTACAAGATTATTTGGCAGGAACATCCTTGAAATATTTAAAGTATATTGAAAATCCTTAAAAACATATAAAGCATATAGCAGTTATTCATGAAGTTAGTTATTGCTTGCTGGCTATCAAAAAGTACCCATGAAATATATTACCATTAAGTGATAATATCACGATCATAATGGATTATAGAAAATATTTGGCTGCAAATCTGAAGAACCTTTTCCAAATATATTCTGTAGATACAAATTATTATAAAAAGGATTTAATTTAGCTGTAGCAAGTATGACAACTTGTTCTAATAGAATATGTATAGTTAGTTTTCCCTTTTGGAAAGGTTTCATCCATTGCAGTTCATGTTTCTGTCTGCGGGATTTATTCACACAGTGATTTTAATAATCATAGCCTTTTTCCTTTTCTGCCCAGAATAGCCTGGTTTTCTATCACAAGTACTTTATGTTATCTCTTAAATTCAGTTTGCAACACTTTCAATCTATGTACCCACTATGTACAGAATTTATACGTTTTGTGTTAAGTAATATGCATCACTAATCCTAATTTGGATTTACATCTTTCAAAATGATGGATAAATTTGGATTTAATTTAAACCCTCTGACACTGCTGTTTCTCAGTCTGGTTTGTCAGCATTTGGCAACATGGTTTTTTTGACACGTCATCAAAAGCACTGTTTGTACACACCAGTCAGTAAAGATCCCACTTGTTTAGAGTTTAGCATTTTTCAGTTGAACATTAGAATGTTATTTAAAATGCCTAATTTTCATCTTCTATCTTTTTTAGTTGCAAGACATTACTCTTCGTTATGTCAAACTTCAATAATTTTCTCTTGAGCCTTTACAGATGACTGCTTCCCCTATTTGTCATTTTCCTCTCAGCTGATTATGTTAAACACATAAATCACTCTCTCTGTATACCCTTTAATCCCTTTATCATCTTTGTTGCCCTTCTTGGGATTCCCTCCGGTCTGTCATTTTTAATGCTCTGAGGCACACACAGCTGTGCAAGGTATTCTCATGTGTAACTGTTCCAAGGTTAGACAGTGTTAGAAATTACAACCTCCTTGGGTAATACAGCATTCAGAGTGCAGTGTGCCAGGCAGCTATTCATCGAGATACAAATGTGCCTTCATCATGCTTCATCACCCTGCTGAAAGACATTATATATACCAAAGCATAAAATAACCCCAAACTGCAAATAGATACATTTATGTAAATATTATGGGTGTAACACTAATAAAAGACACAGGGTAAAATCCTGGTCCTCTTGAGACCACAGGAATTTTTCTCATTATCACCAATGTGGTCAAGGTTGCTAAGCGGGTTTTTGTCAGCCTTCTGTTTTTGTAATCTGTCATTTTCAGTCAATTTGCCATTACAAAATTTAGTTTAAATGTAATACATTTATAACATAGAGACACGAATATTCTGAAAGACTCATTAATGAGTCTCTCTGCCAAACTCTGATATAAAGGAAATTTATCTCACTGCAAAATTAAATTTCTAGTTTTTGCCTTCATCCCATTGAGATTTACAAAGGAATAACAGGGAACTAATCAAGTTCTTCAGATGAATAGCAGTGGACAGTTCTGACAGTCTGGCATGTATAGCATTTCTCCCTTACCGTCAATAAATCCTTTCATTCCACTGTAGGATTTCCCACGTCATACCTTCCCTTTAATTAACTGGGTTTTTCTTTGTTCTTCTCTTATTGCGATGTTTCTGCTACACCAGTAACTCTGTAATATGCTTGCTCCGTCTTTTCATTTTCCTTTTTTAATATTTTCAAAAATTTTTTCCCTTCTCCAGAATTTGCAACTATGGTGGCTGAATCATAAAGGCTTTGACCAATGCAAACCCTTCACCCATCCTTCACTGCCCAATTCCAACCACCTCCTGCTGACTGCTTTGGCTCCTGTTCTATTTATTTATGTTATTTTATACTCCAGCTCTGTTCTCTGCAATCCTGAAACTCTGTAATTCTGCTGAAAGACACTGTTAAAATAATAAAGGTCACATCAATCTGGGCTTTTTTCTCTCTCACTATGACTTGTTTCTTATTTCACATAGGCTTGGCACACAGAGAGAAAAAATTTTACTCTTTTTTTGCTGACATCCCTGCTGCTTTATCCCTAGCTAGGGTAAAGTGTGAAGAAATTTTAAAAATTATTTGGGATGAAACACACATATAATGAGTCATTCAGTCAAAGTTCTGAACGGTGGCAAAACTGAGTGCGTTATTTTTAAGCCATCCCTGCTAAATGGATGCACACTCATAGCCTGGAAAATCTCTAGTGATGGCAATTACTCAACTTCATTTGGCAGTTTGTTCTTTTGACTTAATCAGTGTTATAGCTAAAAAGGATTTCCTAATATTTAACATACATCTCCCCTGCTGCATTTTGGCGATCAGTAAATTTATCCTTGTCTGTATCATTTGTTAAATTTGCCTGGTGCAGGGGGATTTCTGGATAAAAGGTTTGACAGTTTATTAGTTGGTGCCAATCATGCACAGGGACAACTTAATAAACTATTAAAAAGCAGTCACTTCTGAGACACAGGATGTGTTTACTAGCAATGTTACACAGCTATCTAGGACAGGAAGAATGGAATGTTCACAAGAAACAATAGTATGAATTTCAGAAAGGGGACACCAAGATTCAAGTGTGATGCTGCTGTTGATACTCCCACTACTAAAATACCAAAAAAATCCCATCAAAAACATTTTCTCTAAAACTTTACCAGAGAAATTACTATATTTCTTTGAGTTACATATAGGAAACTGAGACTCAGGCTAAGGAAATGACTAGCCAACAGTAAGTCTATAACAGAGCCAAGAGCTAAGCCCTTGTTTCCCAAATCTTGTTCAGTAACTTTGGCACGAAGCTCATGCTTTTTATCCTTTTTTTCTTTTTTTTAAAAGCAAAGATTAAAGCGGGGGGTGGTGGGAGGAATCACTTTGAGGCAACATCTCCCCCACATCTTGGCAAAACATTGATCACTGCTGCAATAAAAAGGAAGGATATTTGCCATTTCTGGATTCTAAACTATTCCCTGCAGCAATAATACTGTATTCCGTTCAGATTGATTATCACTAATTTAGTACAAACAAAAAGATAAGGCTGAAACCCTGTCACCATCACTTTGTACAGAACACCATTCTCTGCCACAGTGATTACCCAATAAACACTCCCTAAAACCATTCTAGATTTTCACTCTGCAGTAACTTAGAAGGAAGACTTTTTGCTGAAGCTGCTATGAGTTCAGACGAAATCCTTTGGTTTCGCACGATGTATGTATGGATCTGAACAATGTGTTGATTTTTAAGTATTCTAAATAAAGCAAATGAAAATGGATTGCCATGAAGCAAGAGAGTTTATTTACTTCCTTTTCTCGGCAGCTGTCTGACCTCAAGTGGCAATAAAGCGTAATTACAAGAGTATACAGGGCTACAGAAAAAAAACATTAGGAACCCAGCTATTGAAGAATCATGAATAAAGACCCATGGGATCAGAGAATCAACATAAAAATCGCTACATAAGCAAAGCCCTTTATAGTGTCTTTCTATTCTTTGAATCTGCAAGGACTTATATTTTAATGCTTCACTGGATGGCATGAAAGCTGAAATTTTATCCAGGGCTTTAACAAAAAGCACAAGCACAATAGAACAAATAGCAAATAAACGCAGCCATTAATGAGTCCAAAAATATATTTATAGTACAGTATGTGAAATAAAGTAAGTTGCAGCAACGTTAATGGGGATATTTTACTGGCATAAAAGTCTGAAGACCTCAATGATTCCTCTATCAGTCTTACTTCAGATTATTCCCTCAATCACTACTCAATAAGCAACACTGAGTTCCTAATTTGGCCTGAAATTTGTCAGTTATACAGTAACGGATAAGATGAAAAGAAATATCCTTTTACTTTCAAACTGAAAAAAATTACAACATGGATACCACTTACAATGGGTAGAAAGACTTCCAAAATACCATCTCTACTTTTCATGGTGACAGTACCTCATATTCTAAACATGCATTTGGTTGGTTTCTTCAAATATGCAATAGGTATACTCAGAAGCTATGTAATCAGAATTCTCATAAAATCTGTTTTAAACCACTTTTTTTCCTATCTGTATTTTAAATCCAGAGTTCAAATCTCAATATTTCACGCCTCTGTCACTGAAGCAAAAAAAAAAATCAAATGTGTGTAACATAAATAAATCTCTGCCCAAACACAAAATGAATGTTTTATCAATTATAATCAAACTATTACTTTTTTCACTGCTGGCTCTTCAATGTTTATCTTAGATGCTTACTCTTCCCCCCCCCCAAATTCCTTCCAAACCTTCTCCAAATCTTGAATTGTTCCATTTCCAATTGATAAAAATTCTCAGAATTTTCCTGTCAGATGCAAGTTATCTAGATGTGGCTCAAAATTCAGCAAACAAATGAAAAAAATTTGTTACAATAAAATAGAAAACATTTTACATACCATATATTAAATTATTAATTTTCATATCGCTCTCATTTTAATGTCCTTAAGACTGTCACAGAAACTATTGTACAGTCTGAAAAAAAACAGAATTTGCTACAAAATTTGATCAGGCTTTCATCAGAGTGTGGATGACTGTATGCTTGAAAAATACAAAAAAAATCCACATTACCCCGCAACGTACTATTTCACAAAGACAGATGTTTTAATTTTCACATGCATAAGCAAAGGAGCAAAATTAAGTTTCTCCAAGAAACACTTATCTTAAATTTCTTAATTGTCATCTTACATCTTCTTCTTTGTCCTGAACAGTAAGTGTTCCATAATTTTCTCCCCTGTTGTAATGCAGTGGAAGTTACGAAATAAAAACCAAAACAACTCCAGCCAACATGTTGAAGACAAAATTTTAAATAATCAGTACACATCCTTTCCTTAGATTCATAGCCAATAGTTTGTAATGAGACACAACTGGATGATTTAAGATAAGTAAATTATGTTTACACATACAAAAAGAGACACTACTTGGTCACATTGGTATTATATATTGCTAGGAAAGAAATACATCTCTCTTGGCTACAACTCAAAAGGAAGAAGAGCCAAATCTTCAAGTCATAGACAAACCATAATTTCCTGACAAATGACATTAGCATTTAACAAAAAGGGTTTATATACCAACAGACCATCACCAACTCTTAAAATTTCTCAGATCACCCTTTACCATTACCAAACTCTTCACCAACAAATTCATAATTGTTTATGCTTTAAGGGTCCTGCCAAGCTCTTAATGGAGTTTCATGGATCAGCAATTTTCCACATGTCTTATTTTGGGAATCAATGGACTGGAGGCCATAACACCTGTTCACTTTGCAGAAGCTGAGCTAGGATTTACATTTACAGTCTATCCACCAGTCCTGAGCTCATCACTGCCTAATGTCCTATGATTACTTCCACTCCTTGTTCACTTCATAAAAGCAAAACTTGCTTGTTTCCCTCTTGTGCCTTTCCTGACTTTGCATCTTTTGAGGGTAAGGACATTTTTCCCTAGTTTCTGAATACTTCTGAAGATTGGAAATGCAGTTCATGTTCTCCTTTCCAGCAACACACACACATAGTTTTATCAAAGCCTCTGTGCTATACTTTCTAAACATTAACAATATTCTGTCCAAAACAGAGTTAATATTTTTATGGAATTAAAAACTGTGGCATTGCACAATATTTGCAGCAAGTTCTGCCTCAACAAAATAACATCAAAGATTATGAATTTATACAAGGTTCACTGAAGACACAAATTAGCCCACAAAATTTTAATTAATTAACATAATGCACAAAAGAACTTAATCTGACTCTAAAAATCCCAGAGTGAGATTTAAGTGGACAGCAGACAGCAGACACACTCTTTTCTTTATAAATCAATTGCAAATGAAAGAAAAATTATATGGCATGCATTAATGCAAAATTCATCTGTGGTTAATACATGTGCTGACATTGTTTTTCTAACACCACTCAGGAATCAGAGGTAACACAAACAGAAGAGCATAGGCTCTCCTCTAGGTCCTCGAGTCTCTCATTGCTAACGCATGCTTGAACCTGAGCTGCTGCACCTTCACTCTGAGAGAGTATTTTGGCAGATTCCCTTTTCCAAAGAGACACACCCTCTAGAGCTCCAACATTTAAAACAACTTTTCTCCTAAACCAGAAAGAGCAAAGCCAGATTTGTCTAAAGGGGGGTTAGCTGTGTGCATGAGAGATAACAGTCAAAACTTACCGATACTGTAGGATCTCCTAATGTGGGATAATTACTTCACAAGGGAGGAAGTACAGTTTTGGTTAGTGTTCTTCTGGTTACTAAAGTAACAAAGCTTAACAAAGTTTAATACACTTTAAAAGACAGAAGTTAATATAAATACAAATACTAGAGTCCCTTCTCCAGCCATCAGACAAAATAGAAGTGACTGCATAAGCTACAACAATAAATGGATCAGAAGATCCAAATAAAAATACTGGAAGGCACTTAATAAGCTTATGGAACATGCAGCTAGAAAATATGTTTTTTTCATAAACTCATTCAGTCTTCCACCTAGGAAAATTTAAGTGAAAGGATCTTGTCAGTGCCTGAGTCAGAGTCAGTATGTCCAACTGTTATTGCAACAACAGTTTTAAATTCTAGGAGATGCTAGACTGAGCAACTAGCAATTTATGTACAAAAATACAGTTGGCTTCACCAGTGTTGCAGGGGTACAACACTGGCATTAACAAATAGATATTTAGGCCTTCAGGTGGTAAGAACACAGTAACTCTATTAATTCCAACTTTGCTACCAGAGCTTCTAGATAAGTCGTAAGAAGCGCAGGAGTAGAGGTCAAATACTTAATCATCAGCTACTGGAGGCAAAGGCCATGGGTTGCTGAACAGCCAAATGGTTCAGAGACATTTTCAGGTTTGGGAAACATTGCCTGGAAAGACTTTTAAAATTCTAACATTTTAATTGTTAACAAACTTCACTTCCTGTATTTTGACAATGCAATGCAGTTTTAAAA